TCAGGTCCAACGAACTTTTGCCTCCGTCCTTTCGCCAAGAAGGAAGTCCGGATGGTTTTGTGTGCTGCACACTGTTGTACCATGGTTCAATCTAAAGGCAGTGTCTCAGAACCTCCATACAAAACATTATTTATAGCCCGATTTGGACATTTTCCCAAATCAACCTCACAATCACGTAAGAGGCGAGAAAAGGAACATTTTTTTGCCATGCTTATGAAATGATTTCCGCACCAAATTTGAACGCATGTTTTGTTACCTGGGGTATCTTTCAGACACTAATTCAGTTCCAGCTTGTAAATGGGTTTTCTCACTCCTGTACGGTCTTTCTGCAGTCAAATTTTACCCTCCTCATCCTACCTCACTAGCAATTCCGGCTCACTGTTCGAAGGTCACATTCAAAAATGTCGAGAACCAGCTTTCGGATTACATGCACAGAGTTTTTATAGTTTTTAAAACTATTTATATGACCAAATGCCCCACTAGTGCACCACAAAACGCAACCCTTGCACCGAGCGCTTCAATGTTCCTCGCCTGTTTCCGCATGTTCACAACCCGTGTGCACTGTGTAATTATGTTTGTCAGGCTCTATCGCCTCAAACGAACACCACTCACACGACCCTCAGCGCTAACGCCGACCGGACCGCGGCGTTTCTCCGGCCGTGGTGAGACGCCCGGGGGCCGGACACGGGCGGCCGCGGGTGGATCATCGGGATCATCGGGATCATCACAGGATCATCAGCACTGTGCCATGCCACCGTTCGGCTCCGCTCGCGTGGCTGGACCGGCTCCCGGGCCGCCGCTGCAGGTCATTGTGAAACCGGTCGACCCGATACGCCGACGAAAGCCCGCCTCCAATCTCCCGCTAGTCTATAATCACGACTCCGCAGCGTTTTTCCCACAGTCGATTTGCGTAAATTTAACGGCGATTTCCGGCCTTTCCCGTGGCGCGTCCGAGCCCCCGCGGTGAACCGCGACAGGTACACGGAGACGGAGAACGGCGACGACGTGGTACGTAGTTCCCGCGGTCCATCACGCCCCAAGATACAAGGCGATGGAAGACGGTGGCGCAGGTGCGCTGGTCAGATCCCAGGCGATGTAGCACTACGACGGGCGGACTGCGTTGACTGTCGGTCAAGCCAGACAACAAAGGGAGGTGTATGGCTTCGCGGACAGCCTTCGCAGCTGGTCTCGTCAGATGACGAAGATAGAAATCCCGACATCACGGCCAGGGCTATTTGCAGCTGGAAAAAGCCAGTGAAGCAAGGGCATCGAACGGTGGCCACCTGGTCTCCAATGCTGGCAGGTCGTAAATCGAGATGACCAGTGATGGAAAACTTCGACGAAGCTACTCGCGACGTCGGCCGTCCGGAACAATAATCGTGTGATTATGAGTTTCGTGGGTGCTTCGGTAATCGGTGGCCTACATCATTTCGCTTTCATTTATCCCCGACGACATGGAGAACCGAGCAGCCACGGCGGCGTCCCAGCAGCAGCTGAATGAGGCGCAGTACACCGCGATCTATGTGGCGGCACTAAAAGACTGCGGCACACAGTCCGCTGCTGATACGCACGGGCCGGGTTCCGCTACCGTGAACACCACTAGAGCTTGAAGCGGTTTACTAGGCTTGATGACCAGTTTTAGCACGCCACCATCCGGTCTAGAAGATTGCTACTGCTTAAGATGCTCCACTGTCGCGTGCAATAAGCTCCTCACAGCCGCCCGTGCTGCGACGTGCCCAACGCGTCGAAGCGTAGCGTAGCCTAAGATATACCGAGGTGGTGAAACAATAAAGCGTTTTCTCAGGCCGCAGGACCTAAGTGGAGTGTTTGTGGAACGTCGGCTGATCACTTATTGGCCAAGGGGGTCTTCCGCAGGTGTTGCGACATACTTTTTGCTATTCCGAATACGAAAGGCTTCTCGGCGAAAAGGGCCCAAACAACAGACTAACTGCAGCCTGGTGACCCAAAATGCCACCCTTTACATGACAAAGTAGAGAGTGTGCCAGACAGCACCACCGGGAGGTCAGCTTTCCCCTGCAAACAAAGTACGGCAGCCGTTATCGGGTGAGAGGCTGCGATGCCGCACTCCTCCGGCCGTCAGCAGGACACGGCGGCGCCTCTCCAGCCCGCTTCTCCGGAGCGGCAGCGGCCGCTACGTCACGTCCGGCTGCCAGTGACGACATCGCCCACCAGCCAACAAGAGCGGCTCGCCCACAGTGGCATACGCCACAACGGGAGACGCCCGATGCGGCGGCGCGCGGACAGCGTGGCGGCAGGACCGGTCTCCGGGCGAGACGCTCGCCGAGACGGCGGCGCGCGCCACGACGGCTGGAGAAGTCTGACGCAGCGGGACAACGGCTGCTCCCACAACCCGACACCCGCACTAGCCTTCGGGCACAGGGAAGAACTCGGTGTTTTGATACGTCGTTTAACCAGCGCGGCGTGGGAAGGGGGGAGGGACGCGATGTACCAGAGCATCTGCCAAACCATTGGGCAGAGCTCTTGAGGTGGCAAACATGTCAAAGAGACGCGTGAACACATCTGGACGTAAGCGGTGATCTAAGCACGTTCACAGTCAAAAACCGGAAGAGGGGGGGGGGGGGGCAGATCATAAGTGACGGCACAAACGTAAATAAAAGGCAGGGCAGTCGATATAAGAGTCTCATGGATGTGCAGATGGATGCAATTAACCGTTCGCGTCCTATAAATCCAATCATGGAGTGTTGGCTAACAGCCAGTTGAAAACAATTTCATGACCGCTAGTAGCTTGTTTTGCATACGGAACGAGGCCGAGGAAAAATTGCGCGGATTATAGTAGAAAAAACAACGTAACCCCGGTGTGGACCGAAATCATCATTTTCGCCAATTTCTCATTATTTCCAAACCAATTACATCGTAAGTTCGTACAACTACATCCTTAGTGTTGACACAACATATTTTTTCCGAAATATTCAGCGAGAGATACTTTGTGCAGAGACCATACCACTGAAGGCAAACCAGTTCAGCGAATCGAAGATATTCCTGATTGTGGCACGTCACGGCTGCATGTTAAGACCATTCAACGTACTTCAATCTTGTTGACAGTTCTTGCAAAACATGCTAAGATCATATCTGCGGATATTAAAACCAACACGAAGCTCGATCACCTAAAACGTAGAACTACCCGATGGTGTGAGAACCCCGACTAAGATAAGACGAACCTAGCGTACGTTTTACGAATTACCAAGCTACGAAATAGGCTCACTCGGCTCCAAACAGACGACCATAACAAGGGGATCTTATAAATGCCATCCCGGCAACATAATCAGGAGAAAACCCAGAGATGACATCCCGATGAGATCACAATGTCATAAACCAGCTTCTCCAAAATCGAGCATTCATTTCGAAAACGTCACATGATGAGGAAAGGAACAAACAATGACCAGATGAACATATCGAGACGGATGACTTGAAGGACTCAAGACCTGAGGGATGATGACTTGGAAAATGAAGGATTTTTGGACAGCCGTCTGCTGTGGTAGACCAACTTTTCGCTTACAAATGTGAAGTCGAATCAAGATGGCTGAGTTTCTCACTACTGATTACAGTCTGGCTACAGCTGACGCGATGGCCAGGGAAGCTCCACTTAATTACGGCAGAGTGAACCTTCAGAACCACCGCAACTGGCCACTTCAGCCCCCTTCAGACCCGTCAATGAACGATTCCTGCACAGTCCTAATGATATGCGAACGTGACGGGCCGCGATCCCGTACCAGGTCTTGTGAATCTCCTGGTTCAAAGCCGACGACTTAGGAACGGCTACTGCCCGTGGACAACGGCACTGGCCGGGGACCCCCAGATCTCTGGACCACATGGTCCGAAGAAGGCTGGTGCCGTCGGGTGATCCTGCTAATGTGTGGTGCGCAGGACCATTGCGAGGATCGCCTCGTCATCCCGGCCGCGCACAAAGCTCCCTCAGTACGATCAGTACGGGCAGTGAGTGAAGCAGACAACCTACCAAGCAAGTGCCAACAACTGTAATGCCAAAACAAATTTCCCCGATTTTTATGGCTCGGCAGCATTTGTCGTGATTACTTACACAACTCACATAAACAACCGAACCAAAAGATACGATGTACCTATAAATAAAAAATGCATGTAGGGCACTGCTCAAAATAAACCACTTAATTCCAATAGAGTATCCGAGGATTACGGCTGCGGTGACCGCTTGTGTTGCCTGCGAAAGTTCTCGATAAACTTATCTTTTTCATACCTTTTCGTCCTAATTCGGACTTCCCGTAAGCCCCGTTACCCAGGGGATAGGACACGCAATAAGTCCATTCAGCTGGCCATCACGTCGGCGCCGTCGAATCGGGCTAGCCCAGCGACGTAAATGCACGGGTGAAACCGTGACGACTTCCAACTCGAGCGTGATGTCCCCGCTTGCAGGACCCCTGCAGAACATCTAAGCACTCGCCGAAACACGCTCCCGTGCAGCCGTGACATGCGGAAATTAACGTCCGTGTACATATCCCTGTCTAATCAACGGCTGCAATCAAATCAACGAGTTGGCATGACCCTCAGCAACCGCGACGAAGCACTTCTCCATCATGCCGACAAAGGCGTCTGCGACCGTCATCGGCGTCGGGCGCAGACCGGCCGTGCCGCATCACATGTTGCCGGCGTCAAGGAGGCGCCTCGGAGCGCGCACAGCCGCGCGTGAACGAACGCCCTGCCGGCCTCCGCACCCACGGCCGAGCCGACCTGCCGGTCTCTGCAACCACGGCCGAGCCGACCTGCCGGCCTCTGCACCGACGGCCGGACGAATCTGCAGGCGATCGGTGACAGCGCGCATCGCTCCCCGCGCGGTCGCCGATGAGGCGGCCCGCGGCAGCTGGAGAGCGCACTCGAGGAGAGGCGAGCCATGGGTCTCGAGAACGCCCCGGCAGTGACGCGGCTGGCGGTGCGCGTGCGAGCCCGACCACGGCGGCCGTCTCGCTCTCGCGTCCGACGACACTCACCATGTCGCTCTGCGGCGGGGAGCGTGCCCGGCGGACCTCGGCGCGCGGGTGGCGTCGGCAGCGGCACCCGACTGAGCAGCACCTGAGCTCGGACTGACAGCGGCGGCGCGGCGGACACCTCGGCTCGGGAGCGCCGGGCGGGGCGGGCGGCCGGCGGCGGACGTGGAAGCGTTCTAACCGACCGCCGTCAGTCGGGACAGCCGCCGCCGCCGCCGCCGCCGCCGCCGCGGGCCGTGCGGCGGCGGCGGGGGAGGGGAGGGCTGACACGGCCCGACCGCGGCGGCGCCGGGGGCAGAGGAGGCGGGCAGGGGCTCGGGGCGGGGTCGGCAGCTGCCGGATCCGGGGTCGCCCAGGTCTGAGTCGACCCACGTAATCGGATTAGTGGCCGCTTGGTAAACACACGGGCGCGGCGGCACGACTGGCGGCGAGGAACGGATCGACAATCATATTGCCCTCCGCACATCACGCAAAAGCGACGACCAATCTGGACACATCAGGCGAATCAAAAAAGTACATTTTTGGCCGACTTGATCTTACTGGCAGCATCCGCGTAAGACCGATAATTGTCAGACTTGCCCACCAGCAGCCAACAAGAGAACTAAACAAATCTCCGGCTAGGTGAGAGTAGATGTAGCAAGCTCGTATTCGAACAGAAAAATACGAGAGGTAAAATGCAACAACACTGCCGAAAAAGCAGCCGTAGACCAAAAAAATAAACAAAAACAAAAAACAGCAGTCACACCTCCTAAAAGATGCAATTCTGTTTGCACATAAAGTCAATAAGCTGAAGGGTGCGGACGTCAAATGGTTACATGAAATAAACCACCTGCTCTATCCATTTTATAAGGGTTAAGCGAACCATTCCTGTACCGATAGAACTCGGTACATTACAATAACAATAATTTTCGGGGTTCTGTGAAGATATTGAGGGCCCTGTAAACGCGGATTGTAGATCAAAAAGTGGTCACCAAATTGCATTAACGTGGCCAACCCATATTTGTCAGTAGAACGTTAAACTTCACTCAGCTTATTTTATTGACAAAAATGATGTAACATTCTTCTGAACATACGCGCTCACAAGTATCACGAAAGAAAACCCACACGTTGCAGTCTCCATAAGCCGTGCGGTGTTGGCGACGCGGCCCAGAAGTCCAACGGGCGGACGACAATGACGCATCTACAACAAAAACTTTTTAAAGCTTTTGGACAATTATTTGCAGGGTTCGAATCTCAAGAGCAAATGACACGTGTTTCACTAGTCCGGGCGTATATTTCACGAGTGCGACTTTTAGATTGATGGCAGGAACGGATCAGCACCGACAGCACCGCGAACTGGTGCTGGAACACGGTGGTGGAACTGGAAAAGCACCCACATAACTCTAGTTTTTGGCTCGCTGTGGTTGTTTGTCTGTTCAAAGGACAACATGAAAATAATAATGGTAAATATAAGCCAGCATAATCTTTGACCACACGAACTGATTTTGAGAGGTTCGGAAGCATTATTTCACGGCTGCCGCTCTCGCGCGCCCAGCGTCCGCCGCCTGGTACCATATGCAGCGAACAACGACGTTCGGCTTTACAGAAACTGCAGCCTCGGTCACTGCTGTCCTTACTCCTGACATTGCGAACGTGCAGGTTCGAGCCGTTTCTGCGCAATTTGTCTCACAAATCGGCGAATCTGCAACAAGATGGACGTTCTCTGATAAACAAGGGTCGGCCTCTTTCATTTTTCACCTCATTTCGATGCACTCCATTAAACCCTAATTATACTCCTTATCCTATTGCGGGCAAGATCCCTGTGGGGAAACAATAGGAGACATGCTTTAGTGCTCGGCAAGGGCTGAAAGCCCATTCTGTTCCAGCGCGGGGTAACTACCGGCTGCCATTCTGGCGACACGGGGGCGGGATGCCCTAGCCAATTTGGGAGACGAACGAGGAATGAGGTCGGACGGATCGATGCAGGAGCCCTCATTGTCGCAACAATATTTGTTATCGCCGCAGGTGGTCTTATTGGCAGAGACTCCAGTTCCGCTAAATGGGCGCTTAACCGTTATGGGGTGGAGGCCCCCTACTAGTACCCCGTTCCGTACTAGGGACGCTGACCGACACTTGAGCCTTGTTTTGTCCCATTGTGAACTCGTAGCATAAGCTCTCATATCTCCTTTCATTTTCAGAGAACCCAGACCAACGCAAGAGGTCCCTGGCATTCGGGGTCCAGCCCCTGTCCCTGATCGGCAAATGTTCCCCCAACTGGCCCGGGGTCCGCCGTTCAGTATTGTGGGCACCTGACCGACACAGGGGGTTCCTCATTGCTGCAGGGGCCCCAACCAATGCAACTCGCGGGCCCCAGCCTTGTGCCTGCTTAGGAAATGGACCCCCAGGGCTGAGACCAACACGGAGACGGCTGTTCGGCGTTGGTTGTTCGGCCGAAATACAGGCTGGCATTATTCCAGGGGTCTCCAATCTGTGCAAGAGGCCCTCTGACCGACGTTTCAGGGCCCGGGCCCCTATGCAACCTTCAGCCAGCCTTTCGATGCCCTATTGCCCCCTAATTAGGCCCTTTATCTGGGGTGGGGAAGGGGACGTTCCCTGGCGTCACTCCCCGTCTACACCACCGAATCCAAGCGAACAAAGCGCACCAAACTCTGCTCTGGACGTATTGGGCACAACTATACACTGAGCCCGCCGCTTTGAACGTTCTGATAGAAACGCAGATAAAAACCATGGAGGGCAGCGCGTCAGCTGTTCAGCTGATCAGCTGATCAGCACCCAAAACTTCCACGCTGAACAGTCAGCTGACTGCTGTCCGCGTTGTCGCACCGACGCATACCGCCATCTTCCGCACCGAGGGTGTCAAACCACACGTCGCTTACACGGACGGATCAAACGTCACTGCGCCTGACGGCCAAATCACGCGCATTTACATAGATAACATATCACCGCTTCACGGGGTGACGGATCGCCGGCTCGTCTTACCAACACAGATCGTAATGGGGCGAGTGCGTGGTCGTGGTTACTGATGAATCCGAGCGTAATGCGCAGGGAGATGCCCGGGGGAAGAATTTGTAAAACAATAGTCGCAGGTTGATTTTCACACCGGGCGAGGCAATTACAACAGCGACGTATTTCACGACACGGGCTGATGACAGCAGCCACGAAGGCCGCATTAACAATCAGCATATTTGGTCGAGCTACGCACTAGACCGGCTTTATTCCTGCACGGCTTTCCGGTGTCGCAACACCCGCAAGGTCGTTTATTCACAGAGGACAACCATTTCACGGGCCGGGACCATACCGTCCGGAGCGGCACGTCCGACATGTGATGACGCCAGATCCGTACCGGTCGATGCGCGTCGTGTCGGAATCCCCAGACTCTGACCAACGCCAAGACGAGGCCTTCGGGACCGTGGCCAGCGCCTGCAGAGCAAGTGGTTCCCCGACTAGAGATGCCTGGAATTCCGAGCTAGTGACTATTACCAACTTGATTTTACCTATCGAGGCCAGCGCAAGATCGGCAACTTCACCTCCCTAACCATGCCGGGCCCGCAGACATACAAGCGGTCATTTCTACTCCTTGGCCGGATCAGTCAGTCGCCCAACCTCTTCAGCTCCCTGACCGTATCGGTATCAGCCGCCCGGCCTTTCCAGTCCCATGGTCGCATCGGTATCGGCCGCCCCGGACTCTTCAGCTCCCTGGTCGCATCGGTATCAGCCGCCCGACCTCTCCAGTTCCCTGGCCGCATCGGTACACACCGCCCGACCTCTTCAGCTCCCTGTCCCTATCGGGACTCCCGTCCGAGATGTTCCAGTCAGCCTGGCGTCGTAAACCTCGGCAATCCACAGCGCCGGAGCGCCGTACAGGTGGCCCGCGACAGCGCAGGACGACTGTCGGCGGTGACGAGCGAGCCGAGCCCGGCCAGCGCGGAGCAGTCCGCTGACTACGGGAGCAGCTGCCACTGCCCGGCTGCTGACGCCATGGACACCCGCACGGGATGCTGAGATCAGCTGACCGGGGGACACCCGCACGGGCTGCTGAGATCATCTGACCGCGGGACACCCGCAGGCCTGCCGAGCACGGGCTGCTGAGATCAGCTGACCAGGGGACATCCGCAGGGCTGCTGAGATCAGCTGACCGGGGGACGTCCGCCGGGCTGCCGAGATCAGCTGACCTGGGGACATCCGCAAGGCTACCGAGATCAGCTGACCGCGGGACATCCGCACAGGCTGCTGAGATCAGCTGACCGGGGGACACCCGCAAGGCTGCTGAGATCGGCTGACCGGGGGACACCCGCAAGGCTGCTGAGATCAGCTGACCGGGGGACATCCGCAAGGCTACCGAGATCAGCTGACCGGGGGACACCCGTAAGGCTGCTGAGATGAACTGACCGGGGTTACACCCGCAAGGCCGCTGAGATCAGCTGACCGCGGGGCATCCGCACAGACTGCTCAGATCAGCTGACCGCGGGACATCCGCAAGGCTGCCGAGATCAGCTGACCGGAAACACTCGCACAGACTGCTGAGATCAGCTGACCGCGCGACATCCGCAAGGCTGCTGAGATCAGCTGACCGCGGGACACCCGCACAGGCTGCCGAGATCAGCTGGGAGCGGGAGCACGCTGCTGAGACTCCTCAGACCAACGGCGGCGAGAGGCCCGCCTCCACTGTCCGATCGATGCTCAGCCGACGCCTTCGAAAGCAGGTGTCACAAGCGAGGACCAATCGCCAGACACGGGCCGACATGTGGGCTTCCGTCTGCCACCCGTCTGGAGGCAGCAGCTCGCGACCCCATCGCCACTCCCCGACACGACCAAACCCGCTCGCTGATCGCAGGCCGGGCGGCCGCAGCCGCGGCGGCGTCCGGTGCGGGCCCGGGTCGGCCGGGGCCGGACGGAGCGCCGGCGCGGCCGCCGTGCCCGTTCCCAGCGGCCTCTCACCCCGCGCCGGTGAGAGCGGCGGCAGCGGTCGGCGCGGCGGCACCGGGCCACCGCCGTCCGGATAGCGGCCGGCGTGGAGCGCCGCCGCGGCTGTGCAATCGCTGGTCGAGGAGGGACAGACAGAGGCGAGGGAGAGACAGGGACAGGGGAGGGGGGCTTGAGGAGGGGTTTTGGGGAGCGATGGTGGACGGGTTAGAGCGACAGGG